GCAATCTTTCCTATCTGATCTCTCTCATTTGATCATCTAGCAGCTTGCTTTACTCGAGAGGCCTGCTCCGACCAAGCCTTGTTCAATCGACTTCTGGACGCAATTGCGGTCACATGCATCCAGGAGTGGTCGTAATTGCGGTCAGATACCTTCAAGGAAGTCCTAGTGTGAGTATGCCCTTTCGGATGAAGGCAGTATTGCTGGAGAACGACCGGGCCGTGTGCGTAGCTCTCCACGGCTGTGATTTGATAGTGTTAAAGTGATTTAATATTGATGGAGTGATTTGATACTGATAAAGTGAGTTGATTTGATTGGTAAAGTGATTTGATTGGTGAAGTGAACTGGACACGGCACGCATGCTGCCGAGGGGAACTGAGGTTTGCGGCTGCTGCTTTGATTGCGGCGGGGATCGACCTGTCGACGCTTGGGAGAATTGAAGTTGGCTGTTGGATGTCGCCTTTCGAGGGTTTCCACTGGCTCTCTGGCCTTAGTCAGTCGTTAATGGGAGAGAGAGGGGGCAGTCGTTAATGGGGGAGAGGGGGGAAGAAATGGGTGGTGATGTGGGTGGCATGGAGGGGCATGGGTGAGCGTCGCCGTACTACACTGTATGTGGACAAACCTGCATGGGACCGATAAATTTGGATCGGTTAACATTTTGAAGGTATCGGAACCGTTATGCGGCCCAGATACTTTTAGAATGTCGTGTTGTGTGGAGCGAGGTCCTGCGCTCGGGTTCTTTTTAGACGTTGACAAACGCAGACCGCCATTGTTATGATTCGCATGTCGGGCTGCTCGTCTTTCTATAAATGGCGCGAGGAAAAAAAAGAAAAAAGAAAAGAAGGAATGACGCGAGACTGGAAGTTACCGGTAGACCATTGATTGGCCTATCCATCAATCGATAAGTACGGGCGTATGATTTATATATCTGAAATGGCGGGACTGTGGCATGCCACGTGGCAGACATGCGCCGAGAGAGCATGACAGGGCGTGCTGCGCGGACGCCTTGATTGCCTGCCACGTTGTCAGATGATGACTGTGGCATACCACGTGGCAGACATGCTCCTAGAGACGATTACGTGGCGTGCCGCGAGTGCGTCTTGATTGCCTGCGACGTGCACGCCTCGGTGACCTGCCACATCTACGCCTTGGTGAGCTGCTACGCTCACGTCTTGATTACCTGCCTCGAGTACGCCTTGATTGCCTGCCACGTGTAAACGCCTTGATTGCCTGCCACGTGTAAACGCCTTGATTGCCTGCCACGTGTGAACGCCTTGATTGGCTGCTACGTGTAAACGCATTGATTGCCTGCCACGTGTGACGCCTTGATTGGCTGCTACGTGTAAACGCATTGATTGCCTGCCACGTGTGACGCCTTGATCGTCAGCATAAATGCCTTGATTGCCTGCCACGAGTACGCCTAGGTTGTCTGCCACGCGTGTACGTCTTGATTGCCTGCCATGAGTACGCCTTGATTGCCTGTTGATTGGTTGCGACGAGTACACGTGGATTGCCTCCCACACGTCCGCCCGCCTTGATTGCCTCTCATGAGTACGCCTTGATTGCTTGTCACGTGTACGTTGATTGCTTGCGACGAGTACACCTGGATTGCCTGCCACATGTACGCCCGCTTTGATTGCCTGCTTGATTGCGTGTCACGTGTAAGCGCGTTGATTGCTTGCCACGAGTACACCTTGATTGCCTGCCAGATGTACGCCCTCATTGCCTGCCACGAGTATGGCTTGATTGCCTGCCACGTGTACCCACCTTGATTCCCTAAAGGTGGATCATGACGGCGATTAGCACCGCCGTCCCGTCCTGAGGTCGTATCAACGAGTGGTAGGACGGAGCGATCCAGTGATTGGGTAGTCGGAAACGGTGCGCGTCCTGGAGATCAACAAATAATGCGTAATTACCTCGTATGGAAAAGACAACATTAAATTCCGAGACAAAAATATTTGAAATTTACGGGGTGTGATTATGAATATGTTTGCTTGCTTGGGAGGTGTGTTCGTTTGGACCACCTCTCGGACCCCTATGGATCAAAACGAGAAGCATGAGGTAAGAGGAGCTAATCAAGAAAATTGCGTTTTGTTGTGGAGAAAGGTGTGACAAAGAGAGGAAATGGAGAAGGCTGCCGCCGGTTGGGTGGACGGTGATGGGGTGTTCCCAGTCAACGGATGCCGCCTGCCCTGCCCTGCCCTGCCCTGCCCTGCCCTGCCCTACCCTCCCTGCCTGCCCTGCCTGTCCTGCCTGCCCTCCGACATATGCACGAACCACCAGGAGATAACTTGGAACGTTACTGAACCGGGACCTTATCACTCAGCCTCGACCAGCCTCTCTGCAGTCGCGACCCACGAGCTTGGGAACCCAACACTGTGCAATTCAATTGCAGTAAGCAAGTCAAGCGTGTGTTGGGGAAACGTGTGTTTGGTTGGGAAACGTGTGTCTGGTTGGGGAAACGTGTGTTTGGTTGGGGAAACGTGTGTTTGATCACCTACTTTCCGTGGGGGTGTCGATCAAATACGGGGAAATGTGTGTTTGGTTGGGAACGAGGTTTTGGGCAGGGGGATTATACACGTGTTATACTTTTAAACCTGATGATTAGAATGACTGCAGTCTTCAGGCGATGAGAACGCCTGGTCATTATAGCTTTGTTTGGCATACTCCAGATACGGCGATAATGACCCGGCGTTCTATTTGGGTGAAAGCCTTTAAGGATCGGATGCAAGGACATGTCTAACGGAAAAAGTATACACAGTCGTGGTTCTCTTAAAGAGGCTACGTCGAAGGCGGTTATGACCCCGGAGCTGGCATGCAATCAGCGTAGCCTGTGTAGTGAACTGTCAGGGAGACGGAGGTGATTGTTGATTCGACCATTATTCGTTGACCTTTCCTACAGGGTGTAGCCCACCGTCGGCTCGTGCACTGACCCGGCTATCAAGCTACCGTTTGCCTCGATCATGCCTGCAATGTAAGAGTGTCTGCCGTTCAGTGTTCCGTGCGTGTGTGAGTTACCATGCGCGCCCGCGTGATACGTGTGTGTGTGTGTGTGTGTGCTGTCTCTTATACACATCTAGATGTGTATAAGAGACAGGTTTGTTGGTGTGTGGCGCTGGTCTCCGTTCTG